CTCAGCGGCTCAATTGTCATTTTAATAGAACGGTTCGGTTGTCTCGACTTTCAATGAAGGGAAGGAAGGGCTCGTACAAATAACTGCGTTTATAATATTGCAAAGCGGATCTCCCATACCCGCGCGAAAGTTCCTCGAACTTGATAATAACGCACACTCGGAATCGACAAACGCGCCCCAATTATGCTGACAAACTGGCTCGCAGCTCTTGTCATCTCGGCAAGCAATAACGACATTTATTTACAAAACGCACAGTAAACTTCTCACCAATTATATGTATTTTATAATCGAAGTAGCTTAACGAGAGAAATATCCGATTAAAAAAAAAAAAATCTAAAAAGACTCCAACGCCATGTAAAAATTTGCAGAAAAATGACTTTATTTCGAACAAGAATTTCGAATAAAATGTATCTCCGAAAAAGCAAACGCGCGATGAACTTTCTCGCTAATTGCACATGTTTTAATCAAAGTAACACTTCGCGATATTATTTAAAAAAAAAAAAAGAATTAAAAAGAATCCAACGCCACGTAAAAACTTGCAAAAAAATTACTTTATTTAAAATAAAATGTATATATCTTCGAAAAGTAAATGCGCGACATATTGTGAGTGGATAGTAAAACAACGAAGATCGACATGAATTCTTACTCGGCCCCCCGAAGAGTTTGATATCTTACTTCATGCCAGCTACAATAAGATTGATCGATTCTGCAAAAGAATTGATATCTTCCTTCGAAACTGTTGCTTCGAACAACAGTGACTTGCGGAAGATTGATACATGTAGAGTAAACACTGAAAGAACTTGTTTTGTCAGATCTTTTTTTACGCAAAGAAAATTTATTTTACTGATCTCATCTTTCTATTAGGTATCATAAGTTCTAATAACTATTCAAAGAGTATTATTTTTCGCACGTTCGTTTCAGATGACACATGAGCGGAGAGAGCGGAAAGCGTAGATGAATTTTCTTCCTGTGTTTTTGAGATCGTATTTTCTACAATATATCGTTGCGCTGACAGAATAGTGACACAAGTAAAATATTACACTCTAAAAAATATAGGTGCGGATTTAACACCATGAGTTTTAAATCTGTATCATATTGATGTTAATATAACACTATGGGTTTTAAACCCATGTTGGTGTTGGTATATATAAATCGACACGTTTATACAATAAACACATGTTTAAATGTATAAATGATATTAAATCCATACCCATATTTCTTACAGTGATAATATTTTGAGATAATAAAAGGAAATCGACTACAAAAGATACTATATTTTTGTACAAAAATGACACATTGTTGACATTTGCTTATATGGAAAAATGTCATAGTTTTGTCATCTGAAATTTACACTGAAATTTACACTGAAATGTTAAGATTGCAGTAAATTTTGAATGTTTATGACATATTTTTAAAAAATACACTATAATTGAAAGTACAACGTAGGAAAAAAGTGAAGGCATAGAAATTGCATATTCACTATTTTAATTAAAATGTTCCAATTCAGAGTTTAAAAAAATTTTTAATTTTTTAAATACTCTACTAAAAATTGCTAATTTTTTAGGTGTACTACTTTTTCTATCACCGCAGTGATATGAATTTTCCAATGATGTCTCCGAAATAATCGTACTTGTCAATAACTGTTAAGGCAATAATGAACGAATGGGTTTTTTATACGAACTTCTTCGCTTAAACAAAAGTTTCCTATACGATTTATTAATTGCATGACAGAATATATACCGAATTTAGCACCTTCTCATCGCATGTTATATATTCAAATTAAAATGTATGAAAGTATCGATGTTACCATTTACATTCCAAAGTGATTTCATGATAAGCCAAACGTGTAAATGTAAACATGTGAAAAAGTCCAGCGTTTAAAGATGCATCGTGTCGAATGCTTACGTATATATTATTAGACTCGATATTAGAATGAAAACTACTTCCGTCAATCCATTTTATGCCTCGTAAAACAATATGAAACTATATCCAGAACATTGGAACCATGACATTGTTATTCAATGACACAGTCGCGATATATCGAAATGCGCCTCGCATAATACATTTGATCGTACAATCACGATATTCCCAAACGGACAAAACGTTCAAGATTTGCACTACATAATTTAGACACCCGGACACAATTATTTCCACGCAAACGGCTGATACCGTTTGATATTCGCATTTCGAAAAACCGAATTCTCATCCAACATTACACGCACCTGAAATATTCATCATCATAATATTTACACTAAAAATATCAACATTCCTCTTACGCACTAAAATAATCTAATAAATAAATTCTATGAGAGAGAGAAAGTAAAGAGAACAATGTGTGTGTGAGAGACCAAATATTCTATTATATAAAAGACATAATTATTGAAAAGTAAAAAAATCAAAATTTTTTACATCAAAAAAACAGGGTAGCTACTAAGAGCTCTAAAAGAGTTTAAGGGATCATTCTTCACAGAAATTTAAGACGAAAACTTCACATGACCATATGTCCGAAACGGCTTAGTTTCAAACATCATATAACCATATGTCTGAAGCTATTAGTTTTTAAACGTACAATAATTTCGAAAACCACACAAGTTAGTTTGATAAAACACATATACAATATTTCACTAAAATCCGAGTGGTTTCCGAAATTTTTGGAAAAAATAAAATTTTTAAGCCATTTCAGACCAGAGTTGGGCACTATTCGAATAATTTTTTATTTAGAATATTATTCAAATAGAATTTTATTTATTATTTGCATTATTTATTATTTATATTATTCATTATTCATATTATTCGCCATTGTATTATTGATGTTTATTCGTTATTCATATTATTCTTCATTCGCATTATTCGTTATTTGCATCATTCGTTATTGGTATTATTTGTTATTCGTATTGTTCTATTTTGTATTATATTATTCCTAGAACACGAGCCTTTCACGAGCCTGTCACAAGATCACTGTACGAAAATAAAGATCCACATTCCAAATAATATCCATTGTTAGTTACTAATTGTACACTATAAGTTTCACCACGCTTCGTACCTTCGTTATCACTTTGAACTACGTTTAGTGTAAAATAAAGTTTAATAAAAGAAGCTGTTCTACATTATACTTTACAATACACACATATTAAATATATCTATATATGTTGAATTATATATTCTTCATTCGAATACATTGTATACTCGAATAAATTTTATTCGAATATATCTTTAATTCGAATACATTATTTCCACATACACGAATATAAATGTTATTCGAATATAATTTTATTTTAGATACACAAAATAAATTTATATTCGAATAAAAAATTATTTTTTATTTATGAATAAGACTTTATTCTTTATTCGTTATTCTTTATTCGTAAATGTGCCCAACTCTGTTTCAGACTTATGGCACATGAAATTTTCATCTTAAATCTATGTGAGGAATTAGCTCTTAAAATCTTTTAAAGTACTTTATAGATAGCCCCACTATGTTATTATCTAAAAAAAAGAAACAGTAAATAATGACTATTTAATATTTCTAGTGTAAACACGCGTCGATGCATTTACGCATTTAATAGCAAAGGTCATTCCCGCGACAGAATTGCATCTCTACGAAGTCCTGGACACCACCCTTTTACCTCACGTTTCACTCTTCCTCGGCGATCGGAATCTCACGCGGAGGACATAAATGTCAGAAAATCCAGATAGTCGCATCTAACATTGGACGTGCGGCGTTCGGAACACCAGTGAACTGGAGTAGCAAAGCGCGATCGCGGTGAGATGGTACCGTCAACGCGCTCACTACCGAATAGTCGGAATAGTCGGAGCTCGGCTCGCCGCGCCGCGTTGCGTTGGTGGAAGAGTCGAAGACAACGAGATCCCGTGAGATCGCACACGCGGTTCACCACTGTTCCGGACGAGATTCCATTCAATATTCACTTGCACCAGAACGGTCGGCGAGTGTGGGCGTTAAAATTGAAAGTTCCTGACGAAACTAACTTATATACAGCACAGAAGCTTGCAGCAACGTTGCTGCAAATTTGCAACGTTACTGCAATATTACTGGAGCGCTGTAATATTGCTAGAATAATCCATGCTATTATGGAGATTAAAGATCTTGTAACAGATCCTGGCCACAAGCGATTTCGTCAAAATTTGAAAGGGAGGAAGATATATATAATTTTCCTCTATATATATATATATATATATATGCTATCTCACTATAACTTGTATTGTCTCACTCCATAACTTTAATTAAGATTACAGACGAGATAGTTAAGTTAGAGTGAGATAGTATATAATATGTATATACAGAGAGAAAGTATACGTACCTTTCTCTCTCATAGGAGTTTGACAAAATCACTCCTGTCTGTTACTCTATAACTTTAATTAAGATTTTAAACTGACAGAAAATAAGATTTTATATATATATATACACAGAGAGAAAGTATACATACCTTTCTCTCATGTAAGATTTTAACAAAATCCCTCTCATCGAGACTATTACTTTATAACTTTTTATACTGTTACGTCATAATTTTAATTAAGATTCTTTTTAAGTAAGACAGTTAAATTAGATCAAGATTGTATTACATATATAACAGGAAGAAAGTACACATAACTTTCTCTCATAGGATTTTGACAAAATCGCTCGTGTCCAGATTTTGCTGTAGGGTCTCTAGCGGAGACGAGGCTAAAAGAAAAGAAGAAGAAGAAGAAAAGATTCCATTCTGGGACCTGAGACCGCGCTACCTGAACGGAATGAACGTGCGGCGAAGCCGATCGCGTGGCATGCCCCGCCTCGTGTGCCACGGATGCGAACGTGCAAGGTAGCGTGCTCGATCGGCACCGCTCTCGTGCATCCGAGAGGCCAGGAGAGCGTGCTCGCGCGCGCGCGCGCGCGCGCGCACACATACACATATCCACCTTCGTCAGCATGTAGCAGAACGGCTGCTGCGAGATGAGCGGATAAACTCTAAAGCGGGAAGAGAAAAAGAAGAATCAGTACTCACCCTCCCCGTCGCCGTCCGGCGCGGCGGCTGCTCGTCGCTCGTATCCGTTAATCGTAGCGGCGGCAACTTCACGCCGTACTACTCTCACGGGCACCTTCCGTTCGCCCTCCTCTCTCGTCCCGTAAACTCTACTCTTGTTGCTCTCCCCGTGTCGCCCCGACCACAAAGGACGCCGCACGCACGGCCGCTGCGACACTATCGCGGTTTTACTATATACGAGACCTCGCCTCTCGCTCTCGCACTAATCGGCACTCCCGAAAACCTCCGGACCTTCCGACGAGCGCGCGTTTCGGCCCGCGTCGTTCGAAAACGTGGCGCACGGCGTCACATTATCCCGCGCACTGACAACACATTATGCACACACAGATGATCGCGGACGGAGCTCCGTCGCCGTTGACACTAATTAATGGTAAGGATTATTCCGAGAGAGGCCGGTCGCGGAACTCGGAAGGTTAACGCGTAGGAGAGACGCGCGAGGACTTCTGTGTTACTTTGACCGCAACGCGCGCGAGCGTGACAATAACGAATTAATGCGCGAAACGGGATACAGTACCGTCGCACCGTGATACACGCAACGTACTTCGCGTAGGAATGCGTTCCCACGAGGGCGAACTCTCTCGAGCACTGGTAGGTATAAGGAGCCGAACGAACCCGACGAAGGATCTAGCTCGTGCGATCTCTCGGTCAAAGTGAGTGAGAGAGAGAAGGGGGGGGAGAGATCGACGCGACGCGACGCGAAGAACGAATAGCACGACCTACACGCGCTGCTGACTGCGGCAGACTGAGCGTCGTGCGCGACCGAAGTGCGCGCTCGCGATTGCCGCGCTCCTAGCGGCCAAAGGCGACCTGGGCGACGACGCGCCTTTGACCGGTCTTCGCGCTCCGATTCGCATCGGGAATTGGAGTAACGTACGTACGAGTGCAAGGGTGAGTACGCGTGGATTTTCCTAATATCTCTGAATGCTCTCTCTCCCTCTCTCTCTCTCTTTAGCTTCGAGAGAAGGAACGCTCGGTAAAAAGATCGACGGGACATTGGCCAACAGATGCATGTAATATCAAATTGCTCGAGAATTCGTATCCATTGTAATGGAATTCCTTCGCTGGTTTTAAATTGATTATTTCTTAGCTAAAGGAACGCCCGAAGTGATCTATCTCGGTGAATACGAATCGCTTAATCCTTTGTTACTCTCGTGGAGTGTCTGGGATACTGTGGGTTTATAAATTCGTTAAATGTAATGCTATTTATACACATCGCTTCCGCTAAACACAAAGTAATAATAATGTTACACAGCTATGTAAAACTAAAATATGCACTAACTTTTAATCAATGTTTGTTTTAATAGTACTAAATTTATTAAATGTAAAAATATATTTATTCGATACAAGAACCATTAATTTGATTTGACCATTATTCTTTATTAAGTAAATATTTATTTGCTGTAAGTAAATGTTTAACGAATTTTAGTACTAGTTGTGTGTATGTGAAAAAATATTTATTAAAATTCAGAAAGTTTTTTAATTTATAATTTCTTACTCAATAATATAATATAACAATTACAACATATGTTATATTGCATTTACATTATTGAATAGGAAATTATAATATTGATATAATGTTATTGTTACTTTTATTTAACAAGATTATTATTATCATATAGAAAGAATGCTTTTACTAAAGTAAAGTTAAAAATTTAGCTAAGTACAAATCTGAAAATAATTTTGTTGGACCATCAAAATAATTATATAGAATATTGAAGTATGATGTACAGTACTGTAAAAAGTTTTGATATTCTAGCAATCAATTCGAACGTCTACATAATTATTTCGATGATCCAAACAAAATTATTTTCGGATTTTTACCTATAATCTAATTTTTTTAGGTACTTCACTTAAAACTATTTTCTCTGTATAGATTTAACACAAATTGTTTCACAATTTTTAAAAGAATTTACATTTATCTCTATCTAAAAAATGTATAAAATATTATCAATCTTTATTTAATTGTGAATCTTAAAGAGAACAATGAAAATTGAGATAAATGCCGCAATGAGGTGTCAGAAACACCCTACGCGAATAATTACGTTAAAAAAACCTCTCGAGTAATGCAGTTAATAAAGCTGCATTTACGGATCTCTCTCGCGACTCTATGCAAAGTCAATTAATTGTGGAAATTGTCGCTTAGAATAATATTCCGTTGTTTACGACGGGAATTATACACGTAATAGGTATATACTGCGCATTTTCTAATCTTGGCATCTGTGCTCAGTTATAAAGAATTGACTCGTATTAGCGTTTCTCTTCAACTCGATACTTTAGAAAGAGAATGAGAGAGAGAGAGAGAGAGAGAGAGAGGGACGATTCAACAACCTTACTCTTTCTAAACCAATAGTAATAATTTCATAAAAATGCAGTCTATTTTTATTATGTCTATTTAATAGAATTATCAACAACGTCGACAATAAAATACACTCAAACATCAAATAAGGAATGAATAAATTCTATCGATTAAATCTCGATATTAAATTTAGATTTAATTTAAATTTAGTTTCAATATTTTAATACGTGCACATTGCTATTTGTTCATAATAATTTATATATTTAATAACCTATGTTTACGCAAATTGGAGACTCACTATATAAATGCCTCATGTAAAACAAAACTATTCATTAATAAACGTATGTGTATCTTTAGTCGCACAAAATATAATTATTAATTAGTGAACCGGGAAAAACAGCGAATTGCAGGTAACGTTTTTAACGGTGAGCGATGTTAAACGTTTATTATCAGACTTTACATATTACAATGTAGTTAAGTTTGTATGTAAAGCGCAATTCCATGCATTGCGGATATAGGAGCGATTAATTAAACTTCGAGTCTCCTGCAAACGAATAACACAATGTGCAGCACGGTTGCATTGCTGACGGAAACAAGTTAGATATTTTATCAGAGCGCTGAATCTATCTCATTAAAAGGGTGTAGTGAATAAAATATTCTCGCTATATATCTCGATACTGCAGGTAAATACAGGCTACAGTCTGTAAATAGTTTATCGACTTCTTTCGAAATTTTGCCTCGCGTGTCTTATCTCGTTCTTTTCCCACAGACATATAGATTTCTTATTAATGAAATTTTAATGAGATTTGACATAAGAATTTAATCAGAGCATTAAATTCTATCTTTTGTTTTAACGATCTTTCCATCAATTTGTAGAAAATACAATGTAACCAATTTAACGATCGTATGAAAATTGAATAATGGAGAGGCGCGTGTGGAACAATGCCCCGGCAATTGATTTTCACATTTTCAGTAATTGATATACAGAGTACACATCAATTACTGAAATTTCTATATATTTTTATTCTTTTCTTTCTTTTACTAATTACAATCAAATTAAACGATTATAGACTTCAAAAAAATTTTTTTACGGATATTATAATGCCCTTATAATTTTTAACATGTGATTTTCAAACAAATCAATTTTTTTCTTAGTAACTAATTAATACATTGTTGCTAGGTCATTATACTATTCGTCAATGTTTCGTGTTGCAATGATACCCTTCCCAATATAATAATGCTGTGACAATGTACAAATTTTATTCTGACGTAGCTACTGAGTGGGCGAGATAAATACCATTTATTAGTATCAATTGAATAAATTATGTTTCATTCATCACGCTCTCCATTCGCTCGCATTCCCACCGTTCATCTCTCTGCCTCTCTATCATCCTCTTCCAATTCTTTCCATCCATTTACCTTCTCTCCGTTTTCGCTTTAAGCATACAGTAATTTGTTGTAGTAAATAATAAACATTTGAAGCGTTTCCAATTTAAAGAAAAGTAAAACTAATACGTTGCAGTGCATAAAGGAACGTATTATATTTTTTGTGATATCGAGTTGAAATTATATTCAGATACATTTAATTGTTTATATAAGTTAAAAATTTTATTTAGTTTTTATTTTTGCTACATTATTTAACTTTTATACTTTGAAAAAAAATATTTAAAAAATAAATATAATAAAATTCTCGTTATATATCTACATATATATATATGTGTGTATATACTATATATATAATATATATACATATATCTATACATTTATATCCACATACATGCATATATTTAATTGTAGAAGATAATTAGTTATTGCTTATACAATAAATGAGTTGATATCAAATTGAGATAATGTTTAATGACAGATATATGATAAATCAATAAATGTATTAAATTTTCGCCATAGACGTTAATTTAATTATTACAAATCGCACGCATTATTTTAAACATTATGGATTAAGTATTATTACATTTAACAGTACAGATAAATAGATACCAAGCTAAATATGAAATTGGTATGGAATCTGTTTTATCTGATATTTTGTGTTACATGAAACATTTATTAAATGTTCGTTTTATTATGCCTAATTTTAAGAGGTACTAAAATAGATACGTGAAAGGGAATTACAATCACATAAATTCGATATGAAAAGAGATGCAATATTTTATATTTTATTAAGAAATTTTCCCCTTTTAACATTAGCATTAATGATTGTTATAAATTTATATAATAAAGTTTATAAATTTTTAATTATTTTTTATTTTATATAGGACCGCAATTACGCAGTTTTATAGCTTTACTGATAGGTATTCATAGTCTGTTCTTAAGTATTTGAATCCCCCTTAAGTATAGTCTTAAAATGTTATAAACCAATCACATAATTATATGTTAGCATCTTAAAATGTTATTTAAGACGGTTCTGAAACAAGAATAGATTATGAGTATAAGATCTAAGTCATATTTATACAATCTAAAGATATCGCCCGTTATTACTAAATCGTTCATTTGTTTGTATAATTTACCTTTACTGCCTACAGTATTTATTTCATTATCGACGAACGTCATATTGGATGCTTTCTATTTGATGACATAGATCGATACAAGTATCATCCTATCTTTTTACTCAGAGAATGCCAAAAAAGATAGAGTGACTGTGTCGACTTGTGTTACTAAATAAAAAGCCTTGACAAAGAAAACCTCCCATCTGTTCATCTCGTCTGCTTCTTTAGACGATTTTTTTACACAGAAAATACGAGAATGCATTGATACGCATTACGGTTAGAATATAAATATGCTTAGTATTTAATATTCCTTTCTGTCAGTTCTATAGTCGAGTAAACCAATATACGTCATTGCAGTTTAATCGAACCAGCGAAACGGCTGGACGCTGTGACACAAAGAATATATGCATATATTCGTATGCGAGTGAGTTAATAATAAAGTGTCGATAGCAGAAATATGATAGAGGAGAGCTGTAAGGGAGACACGTCGTGCAATTCAGAATAGCTTTCATAAGATGTACATCATCAGAGTATATATATATATATATATATACATATATACATATACAAGAAGCGGAATAATTCAACTGAAATGGAATACGCAAACTTAATTATTCTCTAAAAGACCATTTATTAATTGAAAGTCATAAAAATTAGATAGTTGCTAGAAGAGCTGTAATATTAAATGATATATATTCTTTCAAAATTATTATTAAATTTG